TCTTTTCCAACCTTAATGATTCTATGAGTGGCACTACTAGGTCAGAGTGACAGCCTATTTAGCCCAGTGCTGCCTCCAGTTAAGAGAATAAAGTTAACGGCAATAGGAAATGCTGTTTACAAGAATCTATGAGCCTTCCAAGTATAGAAACTCCAGTACAACCCCTTCCCCTGCCCCCATACATGCAATCTGATCCCTTCATTATGTAGTACAACATCAAAAAAAAGGTTTACAATGGAGAGAAGCAATTGCATGAATGAATAATGAAACGACATTTTCAACCACAAGCGATTTTGTCTTAGCAATGTGCAATTAATAGCATTTTTTTATGCACAGGTAAACTGACTGGACTTTCAAAGTGTCCAGACAAATGATTACAGTAATTTTCTAGTGTCAAAGAGGATCTCTCAAGACTTTCAAGTGTATTACATGAAATGTACATACATATAAACATATCTATTTATGTCAACACTCAGGCTTTAATCTCAGCCTGCTGCATATAAACTCTCTATGGTAATTTTCCAAGAGGATAAAGATTAGCATACTCTCACAGGATTTACCGTATTTTTATTTTAAAGTCATTAGATTATGTAAAAAATTCAGCAATCAAGCAAACAGTTTGCAAAACCCAACACTAATCCTTCAAAATTTAGTGTCAAGTTAGAGCTGGGAATACACAAATGTCAGTGACAAACAAGCTATTTTTAGCAAGTCAGTTCCTCACACTGTTTTTCTGCTGCTATAGCAACTTGATGCAATTTCATGTTACTTCCTTCAAGATTATCCTGAGCAAAAAACCTGAAAGTCTATGAATGCCTCACATATTGTTGCCCTTGCATAAAAGAATCCCTATCATTAGCAGTGTCTCTAAAAACAGAAAAAATTGCTCAGATAAGTCACCTGAAGACCATCATAAAATGCAGTTATTTTAATGAATGCAGGATATAACAGCAGATAGGCAGTACTCCTGTAGCAGAATATCAAAGATTAATGTCTCACTAGACTTTGAGAAATGTCAAAGGCAAATGAAGAAAAACTTTGGCCTTGGCTCCTTTCCACTACTTAAAGATCCCTCATCAAACTACTTATGTGAGTGGGTGCATTAGCGGCCATACCATGCACAAACAAGCAGTTAACATAACAGAAATTATAGAATGTGCAGATATGGTCTAATATCCACCGGCTTCCCTCCTAGAAGCACTTTTGAGTACAAACAAAGTAAAAAAGCTTAAAAGCGTTCAAAGAAGATTAACTGCCCGGTTGAAGGTAAAGATGAGCTCCCACAAAACCTCCCACTCGGTCAAATGAAAGCAACCTGCAAACTGTTTTCCCAAAGCTTTTTATTTCCTGCCCCACAACTGAGGTCACAAAACTGGTACTGTATAAAGGTAGGTGTAATCACCAGCAAAAGCTCAACATTCTTCTTGTTCCTGCCTGAGACCACTCTTTCAGGAGATTCAGGTAAATAAACCCATCAGAGCTTGAGACGATTCATTTCTTTGTGCTATATTTTGAAGATTGATACTAAAACTTTGAAGATTGTGGAAGTGCAGCCTGATGTTACCAGGGTCCTTCGGAACAAATAAGGTGACAACCTTCATTTGCAAATTGTTGTGAATCTCAGAAAAGAAGGAACAAAACACAGCTGAAGACTTTTAAAACCCTGCAATCTCAAAACAATTATTGTCACGACCATGTAACTCTATTATCTTTGCAATCCACAACCCACTGTGTCAGCATTCAATACCCAATACAAATACCCAAACTGGCTTTGTAACCATCTTACCCAATGTTCATCACTTTGCTCTACCACTAGACACATCCTATTTTGTTTGCTGCTTCCATCTATTGCCTCTTACAAGTCTGTTAGGCTTTAGGGGGAAGCTCCTCCTTTGATGCCTCAGCCTTTACTTCCATACCAGAAAGCCAAACTTGATCTGCAAGTCTGTGCCACGAAGTGGAAAGAAGCAGAAAACTCCTTACACAGAGACACCTTCAGTATAGGCAAGGTTTTAAGCAGATATGCTGAGCAGACAGACATAAACAAAGACTGCAGCATGCAAAGAGAGGCCCCCCACATTCCAGAGCACAGGTAAGACCACGAAAATATGCCACATATACAGCAGACCAGAAACCTTACTATTCTCTTGGAACAGAGAGGAAAAAAACAGGGATCAGTGCCCTAAACAGACCTTCAAAAGACAAATATCCAAAGGGACAATGCTTTCATTCTGATCATTACAAATGCAAAAGCACAGCTTTGTGCTAAAAACCATACATATTTCACTGGTACAGAAACAACTAGTGAAATAAAGTTTTGCGACACATCAGTTCTAACTGCCATTTTCTGCATTGTTTCCTGATTTTTATATACATATAATTTACTTATTCTACAAGTAATACGCTGCAAAGTCAAATCTGGTAATAAACCAGGAAGAGTTACAAGACCAGACTACATTCATATGTTGCAATAGCTTTCTGTAAATTTTGTAAATTAAATAAAAAAAGAAAAATAAAACTTACAACTTCTGAATTTCAGGCCACAAGGTATTCTGCAACAAGTGATCCTCTGGGGGAGGTTCTAAAAGACATTTGTACAACATACTCAAATTTGGTACTAAATAATCTAAAAATCAGCTAAATAATGCTTCAAGTTTATATCCAATGAACCTCGTTCTCTATTTCCTACAATAGAAATGAATCTCATACCTGTAAGGATCAAGGGTTGAAAATAAATCTCAGGATACTGATTTGAAATGGTATTAAATGTTTCTTCATCCTCAGCTGGTTGAACAGTCGTATCTCCTATTCAAAGTAAGGACTTCATTAGCTAGAGAGAACATACTTGACAGGAGGGAAAATATAAGCACTTATTATACAAGTAAAAAACATCTATTGTTTTTACAATATAAGTAACTGAAATTAAGTTTCTCTGCTTCCAGAGTTACAATAATATGAATATTAGAATCTAGTTATTCTAATGCACATGAGAATGAGGAGGAGAAGAGAAAGAAAAAAAAAAATGTAACCTTTGGACTAATTTCATTCTGAGACTGACCTCTTTCCATCAGCACAGTCTCTTTTAGAGATTCTTACAGAGACTTTGATTTACCTGAAAGAAGCAGTCATCAGGAGTTGAACCTGTGCTTTCCCAACGTTAAGCCTTTCCTTCTGTATTTGAAAATGTTTAAGGCAAAAATCTCAGATACAAGTGATGAATTCCTAAATTTAATGTAGACCCCTAAATGAAAAGCCATACTTGCAGAAGTGTATCTACAATTTGCAAACTTCAGGAAAACTGCCAAGGGCTTAGTCCTTAGCTGTAGGCAAAAGTACCAGAAGTAACTGAAATTACTCAGTTAATTTTAAGTTAAAATTCAACTCTGACCTTCACTTTGAAGGTATTATTTAAGAAAAAGGTACAGAGCTGGAGAACAGTTGCCTTCAGACAGAATCTAACTTTTTGCCAAATGTACATTTCAAATACAGCAGTTTAAAAAAGCAGGTACAGAAGAAGCAGAACAGAAAGACTACCTTCTCATTCATCCTATCTTCTGTCCCCTTGAAAAGGAAATAAGTAACATTTATCTAATTTGAGACCACTATCTGATCATTGCTCACCATGAAGATTCCTCTGCAGAGTAAGCAAGAAGAGAAGTCTTCTGGGGCTTTAACCTAAGCCATCAGTACTGACAGCATTGGGTGGGCAATGGTGGACAATGCAAGAAAATTTGACAGCTTTTCTACTAGTGCTGTTTCTGCGTGAGCATATGAAATCAATGGAAATTAGTTATTCTGTGTGTGACAATACTCTAGGAGAAGAAAGTTTTGTTCCTTCTCTCATGAGGAAGCAGACTCATGAGAAAGCAGAAAAAAGAGGTTTTGCCAAAATACATTTTACGAGTTACTTCAAGTACAACAAAGCTACTTTTCTCTCACAGAAGATTTAGGAAAACTTAGCTATATTGCCATTGAAGACCCTGGAGACAAAGCTTATTAAAATGCTTCCTTTTTTAATTCACACCTTCTGATAAAGCTTTAAGCAGAGAAAAAACAGGTCTGACCTAATTTGTAGATTCCAGTGTAAGTGCATTTTTACCAGGGACTTTAAACACCAGATTACCAGTCCCATCCCCAGTCTCAAGATGCTACTCAGTTACTTTTACCATTCTAGACAGAGATGTTTGTCCCTCCTTCCTTGTTCCCCCACAATGCAATCCCCACCACCTCTCCAAGAAATTAATCTGGTGCCTTACCAGCCTTTACTGACAGAACTTTAGTTACTGTTGGCTAACTAATTTTTCCTTCCCAAATACTTTCACAAAGCATCATTTACCTGGAGAAGGTTTATGGCTATTTTCACTGGAACAGAAAATGTGACTGATCCCCCTCAAAGCATCACTACTTCTATAAGCCTCTACAAGGGTGCTAACATTTGAGGAGAGTGTGAAAAGGACTCCAGAATATAGCTTCAGAGGTCAAGGTATTTTACGGAGAAACCACAAGCAGCAACAGGTAGTTCTGCTTTAACAACTCTGAACCTAGTTTTCACAGTACACTATTCAATACTAATTTTTTTGACTACGAGTCATCAGTCGTTTCGGGGCAGGGGGAAAGCATGGGTAGCGAGCATGGAGAAAACAGAGGAACAACGGCAGGTGGGGGAATTTAAATAATATCCTGCCCTGGCTACTACCAGACCCATCACAGGCGAGCAATGAGTGCCAGCATCCGTGTGAAACTCATCAAGATCAGTCGACGGGAAAGGCTCTCGGGAGCACTGCGCAGACTGAGTGGGGTTACTTCCTACAGGGGTGTGCAACACATTGGAAAGAGCATTTTGGGTTTGCACAAGACATTAGGGAATGTTTAGGGCAGAAACCAAAGGCAGAAAAAGAGAGGAAAGATCGTCACTAGTGCTTTTTTTAATTTTTAAGCACCGTATTTAGGTGCCACCAGAGAACTAAACGCTTTGCACAATTTTATTTCTAGATTCTAAACTTGCCGTCAAGCTTACAATGACAGCCCTAACAAAAAGACGTACGCTAAAACAATCATTTAAAAAAAAAAGGTTTCCACACAAAGCAGCACCACCATTATTTCTCATTACTGTACCTTCAAAAACAGCTTTATTGGATAATCCCAAGGCTGGCACAGTTGCACCTTCTGGAAGATCAGATGATTGCTGAATTTAAAAAAAAAAAAAAGTTACACACAGATTGTCATGTAGGTTCAGATTTCAAAAGCCACAGTTTAAGGAATCCCTGTGATAAAAAGAGACTTTTCTAGAGAAGTGAAGGGGGGCACTTTGAAAAACTTCCAACTCATCCAGAACATACTCTGGACAAAATGAAGACCAGTACTCTGCCAGAAAAAAAAGCTTTTCTAAGGCCTCAGCTCAAGGGTTTTGCTGTAAAGCACGCATCTTCGTCCCTAATTACGGGTTTTCTTCCACAATCTTATTTATTCTAGGATATACATGATAATTAATCAACTGAGAGCACTGCAGTTTTTAACATAATATGACTGGGAAATACTCTGCTCTGAGGTGAAAGAATAAAGCAGCATTTTGGAAAAAGGGACAGAGGGTGAGTGCCTGTGCCCACAACTTCAAAACACAACCCCGTACATAGCACAGAGATGTGGCTGGAGTACGTGGCTGTTTAGAGCAGCACAGAGGAAAGACAAATCATCAGACAGAAAATACTTCCATAAAGGTATGGGGGAAAAAGCCAAAATTTAGAAAGGGTAAGTGAACTTGGGGCCTTTTGTGTAGAGATGGAAAAAGATTAGATTTAATAGCTGTAAAGCCCCTTCCTTACAGTGTCTGAAAAGTTCAAAGAAAGACTGTTTTACAGAATTGGATTAATAATTTAGGTGACAGCTTAAAATACTATGTAATTTATTTAAATGTTCATAGTTTGATGAGAAAAATGTATGAGACACACACACCAGTCTAAGGCCTCTAAGCCAAAAATGGTTCTTCATTACAACCCAAAGTATAACACAATCCCATGGATTTGAACTGAATATAATCCTATTCAACCCTTTCTGAATTTAAAGCTGGCTTTTTTGGTTTTAAGTACTTTTTTTGGGAAGGCATTTGAGCTAAATTAAGAAAAAGCTTACCCACTTTAATGAAAAAAGCATTCACAGAAAACAATTTCAATAAAGCTATTTAAGAGTAGCTGTATCATTAGAGCTCATAAAGCCTTCCTCTTTAAACAAAGCTCATGTGAAACACTTTGAATGCTATTTTTTGATTCATGATATCACACGAAGAGCTGATAAGGAAAGTCTACACAAAAGTAAAATAATGACATCTGCCAGCAGTATAAAAACACAATGTTATTTGTACAATGTCATTAACGCAAATGCTTACAAAGTGTTATGGAATTAAAGCACTAAACAGCTACTTATGTAACTTCTTGCTATCAAAAATGAACAGATTTCTTTCCCAGATCTTTCAAGTGTTAAATGAAATGGAGAGGCTAATCCACCTCTGAGAAGCTCCACAGAAAACACCACTTTAAAGCCAGAAATGCAAAGAGCATGCAAGGCACTGTACAGAGGCAACTATCCTGAATTAGGTCTGCTCTACAAAATGCAGAGAAAAACAGAATTAGATCTTAAAGCAAATGGGGAGCAAACAAAGGACAGCAACTCTGCAGTCTTATTTTTTCCACAGAGTAGGAAAGTATACTTATCGACAATTACGAACTGGAATGTAAAGGCCTCAAGAAAATTTCCAATGCCAAGAGGAAATAAAGCATGAGCAAGTACATATTTATAAATATTTATATGTAACAACTAACAACAGTGCTGAAAGCTTTATGCAATTTCCAAGCATACAATTAAAAAAAACACCACCACATAACCACACAACAATAATTACATCTAGACAAGACTACTACACCCTTAAATTAGGGGAAGCACATTCCCAGGCTTTATTGTTTACTTTCAAATCACCAAGCATGTACAGTAGCCTACTTGGTCTGACTTATTTAAAATTTACCCACACTCCTTGCAATCTTCAGACGCTAGGTCTTGTTTAGTTTCAAATACAACCTGTTTTATAAGACAACACCAAGAAAATACATACGAAACAACACACATGGAAGCAAATAGAAGGGAAAGCAAAAACAAGGTTAAGGTTTCAGAACTATTGAAAGAATTTTCATAGAGGTTGGTGCAATTTGACATTTTCTAAAGCATTTTTATTTACATGAAGGAGGGCTGTCTTCATTTAGCATTGCTTTAGCACACTTACGTGGGAGCACAGCTTCTCCACTGGAATACCAGTGATGTTACTGAAATTTTCTATAAAATTCTTGGGAGCACGAAAAACTCGAAGCACTTTTTCATCTGCTCCTGACACAAACTGAAACCGGCCAATCATTGCCAAACAACGCATGTCGTACCCATGTACTTGAGGCCTTGCAATTTCATGCCAGGTTACCTAAACAAACAGACACGCAGTTAAAACACAATTCTTAACCAGAGAAGCAGCAAGATTTTGAGTTCCAAAAAAGTACTAATACTTTACTTGCTGACTTTATTAACATAAAGGAAAGTTAACAGCAACCTTCTACTGACATTCATAAAACTGTTAAATCCTATTTTGAGGATTACATACATCAGTTAAATCCTATTTTTCCATGAAACAATTCCTGTAATTAGTAAACTGTGTCCCTGCACAGATATGTTCAAGGCATTTGCTTACCTTTGTTACTAAGGGCACACCGCATTTACTGTGACTTCTTTATGCTAGACAGTCAGGAATAGGACATAATTTGCTTAAGCAAAAGGAGGATTGTATGCTACTTACTACTTTCAAAACTGTAGCTCTGAAAGACTTAAGAAAGGTAGTGATAATTACCTTGCTTCATTCATCTGTCTTTCACAAAGCACAGCAGCACTGCTGTCAGCAGGCTACAGGTTCCTACTTCCCCCTGTCTTTAAATACTCGATTTTAGTGAGACAATTTAATAGAAGCTTTGCAAAAAACTGACAAAATCAAAATAGCTTTTTATAGGAGAAACATCTGGAAAATCCTGAGGATTTTAGAAGTGTTTTCATTGAAGTATTAATGTTTTTTCTTGTTTCCCGAAATATTCATATCCACGCTTCAAGTATTAATCCAAGAAAACCAGAATTAACAACTGGCCAGAAATTAGATAGACAAGTTAGTTTTATAGTTACACTACGCAAAGAATATTAGCAAAAAAAGATATTAAATTATTTAAAATGCTTTTCTAAAAATCTAATTTATTCAACACATGAAAAAATTGATTCTTCAAAAAAAAACCCCTTTGTTTTCTAGCAAATACACTTTCATGAAAAGATTTTTATTAAGTGTCATTTGCTACTACTCCTACATGATACTTCAGCTGGAAAAATACAATGTGCACACATGACTTAACAGCTAGCAGAATTAGAATTAATTTAATCAATTAGAATTTAGACTAGTATAACAATGCCTAGAAAACTGCAGCCAAGACAGAATTTACATTGTACTACATATCATACAAATATTAGGAAAGGCATTACGTTGACTGTAAACTGCATATATCACAATAAAAATTAAATGGAATTTTGAAAGTCAAAGCTTCCGATAGAATCTGAATGGGATATTTGAGAGATCCAAAAAAATCTCATGTTTTCACAAGGGCTTGATTATTTTCCAAATGAGAAAAAAGCATTAATTCTTTAAAAAAAAAACCCCACAACACAAAACAAAACAAAAAACCCCAAGCAAACAGTGCAATAAACCGTTCTTCCCTTTACTAGGTACATCTTTGCATACTTTAGAACACAGCACATAACAGGAATGAAAAAAAAAAACTAGAAAACCCAAACCCCAAAACAGATAAACAGAGGGTTGCATAAGCCATGCAATAAGCTTCTTCCAGAAAAATCAGGGTGCAAATTTGCATGAGCAATTGAAGCTGATTGTTATCCCTCATTTCTGATATCTGAACCCAGTACAGTATCAGAATTGAGATTTTAAGAAGGGATAATTATTTTCTTTCAACACTTAGTTTGCTTTTTATAGAGAAAAACATGACATGAAAAACATGAGCTGTAATACTAACTTTTCATAGGTATCTGAACCATCTATAGTGTCTTGTTAAGACAAACATCAGATGTCACCTGTTGTAATTTTTCAGATGCTAAACTCAGTATGGTAAAGAAAGTAAGGCATTTTAAAAGCCTATGTAATCTTAAGTTCATGAGCAGCAGAACTAACCACCTGGTTTTCAGCGTTCAGAAGTCCTGAACACACCCCTTCAAATGACACATTTCTATCCCAACCCTCGACCTCACCCCACCGACAGGATGCTATTGCTTTCTCCCACATCCCATGCAGCAACAAGTGTTGACGCTACGTGGATTTATACCTGGTCGAACTAGCCAGCCAGGTGGCTGCTCTGTCTCAGAACAGGAAGGGGAAGTACAGTAATTCAGTTCACACCAAACTTAGATATGAAGACTGCAATCACTCTGCTAAATCAATTAATTCAAAAGTTTCAGGGACAGCAGGAACAGCTGTACAGGTAAATAATACAAAGCTCAGTTCTTTCAGAAAATAGGATAAAAATTTAGCAAGCAACATACATAATAAAGAGTGGTACTTCAGCAGGTCACAGAGAAAGTGATATTGGCAACTCTCCTGAATGCTGCCAACTTACATCACGTGCTACTTGGACTTTGCTTCCATATGTCAAATCCAACATACTATCTTTTCCACAGACCTGTTGTATGCTCCAGATTAGAGACTGGGGGAAAAGGCAGGGAAGGAAACTGGAGATGCCCTTCCTACCACACAAGGCAAAGCTTAGCGCTTTAGCTGGGATTGCCACCACTTCTGTGTGGTCTGGACAAAGGAAATCAAGGAATTGAGCCAAATTCATTCTCCCAAAAACATTAGACATCCTGTGCTGGTCTACAGTACAGAAGCTTTGATGACACAGTTGTAACAATCACCCTTTGCCTCCCCCAACTAATAGCACAGCTTGTACAGGGCCTTAGATGACTTCAATTAGTCCAGTTTCTGCCAGTTTCCTGAATGGAACATTAGTGCTGTTCTGCGAGAAAAAGCTGTATTTGTAGATGAGGAAAATGCATAAGCAACTAGAAATAGGAACTTTTGCATTCCTAGACAGAGTTTCCCACACCTTTAGACTTATTTTGGAACAACAAAGTTATTCAGGAATAATTCTTCCTGAAAAGTTGCTTGCGCAGGTACCAACTGCACTCATGAAGTTCAGATAATCGTTCCAGTAAAACAGTCAGAGTCATAAACAAAACAGCATAAAAAATACAGTGAGAACTTCGCTTAGATTAAGCTTGTGTAAAAAAAAACACAACCAAAGTTGAGTTTCTTTATGATTACCTGCAGCAGTGCGTAGCCAAGCGTTAACACGGGCAATAGATTGTTATTAGAATCAGCCATGTATTCCTCCTTCTGAATTATTGCAGAGCCTGGTTTTTAAGACCCTGGGAGAACACTAACTGAAGGGAACCCAGAGGTGAACTCAGGATTAAACAACAGTCCTGCTATGTGATTGCCAAAACTCTGCTACTAGTATTTTTAAAGTGAAAACAGCACGTACTGAATGATCAAACCAAGCATTTACACAAGCAGTTTTGAACAGATCATGGCTTGGGGAAATTTAAGGTTTGAGTTATATTCAGGTGACTTGTTCCAAACTCAAGACAGACAAGCCCTCTTTACCAAGCTCGCAAAATCTTTGAAGATCGTACCTCTGTCTCTTGTTTTCTTTTCCATGGAGCAAAGAGTCTAGTAGTTTGATCAGAACCAACACTGATGATAAACTCTCCTTCTGGATCCCACTTCACATCCTCTACACTATTAAAATGTCCTGAAATCACAACTTCTGGAGTCCACTCTTTCTATGAAAAAAAGTCACCAAAGAAGCAAGGAGTTTTCAATTGACTGACTGGCATATTCTAACCAAAATAAAAGTATCAACATCCTTATTACGAAAGCAAAAAAAAAGGCATTTGCAAACAGCAAATTATTAGAACTCAGAGTGGCTAAAGAGACACAAATACTGATTTATTGCTCCAATCTAAAAGGAACTTGTGTTATTGGTTCAGCTGCCACTTCTGAACAAAGCACAACCACAAAGGAGTTCAGTCTATTCCACTGACTTTATGGTTCCCACAGGGAAGCAACAGGTTTTAGAGCCTGGGAGATTGCAACCTCCCTTCTATGCAGGAGCGAGACTCCTACAGAATATTATATTCAGAGAAAGACTATTTCAATCATTAATTTTAAATTGTACTTTTCTATTAACAATAGAACTTACCTCAAGTGGCATATAAGTGTAATTCTTTTAAGTACCACTACTAATAAAAAAACAACATACCTTATTAACTGTAGCCTGTTTCCAAAGGTGTAGTGCTCCATGAAAAGCATGAGCCACGATCATTGAACCATCTGGACTAAACTGGCAGTCAAAAAATCCAAGGGTATTGCCACCCACTTCACCTACCCGCACCTGAATTAATGATCAGAAGTGTAATATCTGTGAAAATGGCCTTCACTCATGTAAACTCATCCTAATCTCATGAGATGAAAATTTAGTTATAGGCAAGAGTTCATATTACACACAAAAATACATTTAAAGAATATTTTAATTGCGAAGTTAAGCACTAAAATATCATGGGAATTAAAGCTGCAAGCCACTTCAGGATAGGAGCTTGCTCAATCCCCTAGGGGAAAGAACACACTACACTAGATGAGACAAGAACCCAATCTTTCTATGTTTCAGTCCAGTCTGTTGGATGCAAGAGTTGCTTATCATCTGTTGCCTTGGTACTGCTCTGTTGCACAAAATGGAAAAATGGTCCAAAGGAACAGTGGTTCCCAATTACTTCCCCCTGCTCCCCCCCCAATTACCAAGATTCACTACCATATTACCACTTCCCTGTTTCTCCATGAATCCCTGCAATTTGCGCCACATTCCTTCTGTGGCATACTTTGGCCTCTGTTTTGTGCTTCCCTTATGACTTTCAATGTATGTATGCATGCATACACACACGCTTTATAGTTACTGTAGTGCTCTTCCAAGTTTTTAATTACATTAAAAGATTATTAAAATTACATTTTCAAGTTTTGTTCAAGAGATAAGACCACAATTCCTTTCAAGCTGAACTCTTAACAATTCCCCCATTATTATACAGCTGCTTTTAAGATCACAATGAAATCATAGAATCATAGAATCATT